CAAGAAGTTTTGTATGGTCAGGAGCTCCTTTTAGAAGAGCCGCCTTTTGTGGGTTTAGCAGTAGAAGTTGCTGCATGTCGTTGGGAAGTACATTGAAAATCGCCTGCAGATCTCCCTTAAGTTTTTGGCAAGTTGCAGTAGAGTCTGTGCTAGCCCTTCCTGATTGCTGCGCCTGAGAGATGAAAATTTTGGGGAAAAAAATGAATATAATACAATTTCTTATATTATTAATAAAGACAAGAAAATTAGTACTTCAGTGACATTATGTTCAACATCATCTTCTAATTTAGATACTTCTGAGCATATCTTTAAGCTATTCTAATTCTGATGTAATGCTCATTACTCGGGTTCATTAAATTTGATGGCACAGTTAATGAAAAGGTAACCTTATAGCCACTTATATGTTCACTTAAGAATAAGGTTAGTCGGTGATCCCCTCATCGTTCTTACTTTGAGAATAGAACAAACTTACGCATAAATCAACAGGAGATAATCTACTGTTAACTCAAAACAACATTGAAATTGCAACGGGAGATAATCTTCCAGATTTCCTACAAGAGATACCAAGAGACAAGATAACAACACCTAGTAGCCTTGTAAACCAGACATCTTGTACATATAGCATGCTTTACCAGAAAGTCGTCTTAACAAGTTACTATAAATCTGAAAATTGTCTTAAAAGTGGTTTCAGATGGACCATCATAAAAATGCTAGTATATATAGCATGCTTTACCAGAAACTGTTCTTGGTTTTTTAATTTTATGTGGGGAGGGGAGCATTGATAGAAGATAGCATGCTTAGCGGGGAGTGGGACATTACCACTGTTTCTTCAAGAAGATGTCTCTCAATACAATCGAAGGAATCAACAATTTCCAATTCAGACATCTTAGACATTAAATGTAGTATATCAGTCTTCATTCTGGCCTGCCTCCAGAGTCTATGTTGTTCTTGTTCAGCAACAGCACGCCTTCTTTGAAACCATGGTGCAAAGTTTGGTCCCTGTAGAAATCGCCTAAACAGACAGAAAACACAGACCAATGATTACCATATGTAAAGAAAACCAAGTAGAACAGCTGGTGAGGAGAGGTAGTAAATGATACATATGAAATGTTACATTTATTACCGGTATAAGTCCAGCCAGTTAGATCTCATTCGTTTTGATAGAAACTTCCCAGGTCCTCTCTCTGATAAACTTCCCAGGAACTCATCAGCATTAAACGGGATAAGAGGGGGAGGGTCTACAAACGGAGAAGATCCTTCTGAAGGTGTTCTAGTCCTAAAATATGGACCAAAAGGAGCCAAAAAGTTGGTAGTGAGCTCCAAGAAATGTCGCCGCAATATTTCATTGTTAACAACTGACATTGATTCCTCAACCCTTGGTGACATCCCAGCATCTATAAGCCTATTTAGGATAGAAGTATCCGGCTTAGTTGTAGCAGAGTAAGTGCTCCAAATGGCTTCCTTATGTTCCGTCATGAGACAGAGAGGACCCTCTCTCCTCAACTTCATAGCATTCAACAAATTTGAAGGAGAGAATTTTTTCAAGGAAAGCTGTTGAAAGCCAAATCCTTCGGCTCTACCTGTAAGTCTTCCAGTAGATGACCTGGAAGCAAGGGCAAGCCGGTTTGTATTAGGAGCAGGGCTTCCAACTGAAACAACGTGGGGCATATTACGAAGAGATTTAAGAAAAAACAGGTTGGTCACACCCAAAATCATAGGTGGAAAGGTGTCTCCTTCACGGAGGGAGTTGAGGTGGGCAAATTTAGGGTCATGGATAGTGAAATAAGGTCTAAAATCCACACTGCAAAGTAAAGGTGCAACCAAGCTGACAAGACCAGCAACAGCCTCACTGCATTGCGGAGGAGTTGGAGCTATGACAAGCAAGGGCTCACCAATAAGTAACAACTCCCACATAACCCAGAGCTGTAATAAGACACCCCTGAAGATGCCAAATAGATCCGAGTCATGAAAAAGGCCCTGGGGTACTGACTGGTTATTAGGAAGAAAAGGAGCCATCGAGGAGGCAGACTCTTTGAGCAACATTCCGTTCTCTGACGGCAAGCTATGTGCAGGTGGCAAGTTCACTTTCAGCGCAGCATTCCCAATAGGAAGCTCCATCAGCTTACCAGGTACAGGAGCAGGCCACATTGAAACATAAGCAGCAATATGCTCAAGAGCTTTCCTTCCAACATCAAAATATAGAGGACCCATGATTTGTAACAACGGTCTAAACACACTAGAGTACGGACTGTGCGTCAAGATTACCAGAGACTTCTGCTCCCCACCTCGTTTTAGCCTCTCATCATGTCTCTGTCTATTAAAAACATACCCATACATGTATCTTGAAGCATTAGAATTGTTGTTAATTTTTGACCTCTTAAGAACATTTACATCGGGAGACTTAGGATCTAACTTCTTATCACTTTTAGTCATCTCGGTGGAGGACACATTGTCAATTTGAGAACTTTCCCGCCTTTGAATCCGGAAAAAGAATACACTATCATGAATGCTTGAGCGGTTCTGATGCTGGGAAACAGAATCCGGGAAAGAACTAAAGGCAATTTCAAGCTCCTCATCTTGTGTAAGACAACCGGGTGGGTAGCACTCTTCAATTAGCTGACCCTGTTCAAGATCAAACCTAATAATACAAAAGGCCACAACCCATTGCTGCAAAGATTCTGGATCAAGCTTTGGACTATTTTCGGACTTAACTGAAAATGAAGGAGAACGACTCATTTCCAAAAAAAATCAAAGCCCGATTTTACTGATCAAAATTCCACTCCACATCGTCTTCAGCAGCCATTTCGACTACAAAACCACCTATACCCAGTTGAACTTTTGTGGGTTTTCTTCCTCACAACCTAGCCAATAAATTTCAAAAGACCTCATTAATTTCTAGATAACAATGTAATTCAAGGACGGAATTTTTTGTTAGGTAATTACAGCTTTCCTTGCGAATGCTTGAGTAAATTATACAAAAGAAACAAGTTACATTCTTTTTTTCTTCATCGATTGGGATTACAGTTCTTTAACAATGCATGAATCTAAAGCTCACTTCTTGCTTACTTCAGGTGAAATTGCCACATAACAAAAACAACCCAAGATTCCATTTTGTTCTTTCCTTCCATTTTCTCAGCAACCAAACAAAGTCCCAAGAAAAAAAACCAACACACGAAAAAATGCAGCACAAGAACCACAAACTCGAATTCAGAAAAAAGATCTACGCAAAAGGGTTGCTCGAACTTTACCTGAATCGGAAAACCCAGAACCGAATTCTTGCAGAAACCAATCTGGATCAGCGAAACGAAGACACCCAATTGGCCAAAAAGAGACGGAGCTCCCTCAGAAATCGAGCAACTTGAACAAGAACAGTAAATATCCTACAAAGGGTTTATGCGAATTGAACCAAATGGAACTCCTTTTTGGCTGTGCTGAGGAGGAGGCGGAGTATCCGAAATTCAAAATCCAATGAATTCGAAATTTTGAACGTTTTAATTTATGATTTAATTGGGAAATTTTACAGAGATCGTGAATTTTAGGGTCTCTGTCGATCAGTTCAGGCCGCAATCGTGACTCAATTGGGAAAGTATTTGACGCTAGCTGTTGCAATCTGGTATCTCTTCCTCCTCGAACGTGTGTCCCATCATCGCCATCGATATCTAAACCTGGTAGATAATTTGGTCCCGTGGTGCGGTTACTCTCAATTACCTACTCCATTAATACTAGGTAGTTTTAACGAAACATACTGTTCATTTTAATTTAAAAAAACATTTTTACTTTAAAAATAACTCTCAGTACTATCCACTTACAACATATTTTTGTCATTTTGATTAAAACGCAAAGTTTTCAAATCATTTTCGTTAGTTTTCCTTTAATACTATCTATACAGGAAAACTAATGAAAATGACTTAAAAACTTTGAGTTTTAACGATAACGACAAAATAAATAGTAAAATGAATAGTAGCATAATTGACTTTTTAATGTAAAAATATAATTTTTCGTTAAAATGAATAGTATCGAAAACTTTTCGTTAAAGTTTCTTCTTTGTGCACCCTTTTTTATTTTTAAATATATATTTTTTTTTTCCGATTTCCATCGTCAAATTGAATTGAAAAAGGGCAATGCAACATAAGTATCCAATTACAATTATTTAGTACTCTGAGCAAAATAAACGGTCAAATTTAAGCATTGATATCTATCTTCTAAAAAAAAGATTATACTCCCATAAATTCGAAACTTTGAATATCACGAGGCATTGTAGCAAAATCTAAGTTTTTTGGGTCATACATGTGTAAATATTAGGGGTGTGCACCCCTTGATAATTTCTATCCGTTGATCTTCAATTCATCCGATCCGACAGTCGAAAATTAAAAAGGTGTGTGAGAAGTAAAATAGGATGTGTGGATATCATACCCCTAAATATATATACCAAGTTACGAAGATGTTGATCGGATTCCTAAATTCATAGCTCGTTTACGCACTTGCGGTAAAATTAATTTTGAATTTCAAAAAAAACTTTTTTAGAAGAAAAAATAACAAATGTGTTTCTTGCAAGAAGCACACAAGATCCCTTGAACTATTACTAAAAATTGATTTCAAAAATATTTTCACTAAAAACACTTTCAATTATTTAAAAAATGGAGTTTTAACAAAACACTTCCGGTACTGTTCACTTTTAACAAAAAACCACATTTATACTTTTTCCTGGTATTATTCACTATACCTTTAAAAATGATTTTTTTTTTCATTAAAAGAGAAGGTTTTTTTTAACTTTTTGTTAGCTTTCCTTTTAAAAATTACTTGCAAATGAGCCCTTACACTTCTTTTTGTTGTTGGACTTGGAGATATTAAGCATTTATAAAGTTGTCATTGAAATATTATGTTCTCAAAGTCTTTTTGTCTTTTTGGGTTTATTTTTTGCTTTTTTGGGTTTATTTTTTGCTATGACCCTTCGAACTCTACTTTAATCTCGCCCTACCCCTATAAACCAAATTGCGTCATTTTACCTTCTGAAACTCGATTTTTTATTTCAGGGAACATCAACCTCAGTGAAAGGTTACCATTCGTAACACTATCATTTATGACTCCGTTATAACAGTACTTTCCACTGCACATTTACAATTTCAAAAGGTAGAAAAAACTGGGAAAAAAGCTACTCAGTTTTTGTAAAAGTGACTGCACATCCTGCATCTCCTACAATCCTTTGCTTTGCTTAATTAGAACAGCAAAACTCACCACCATGGAAGTTAGAGTATAATCTGTGTTAAGAACATGTGCTGAATCAAGGTTACCGTCCCGCTCTATCTACCCCAGTTCCATATTATACAACATTCGGAGTGGGGCGGGTGGATTGAAACCTAAACATCATACACAGGTAAGCGCTGCTCGATTGATTCGCGGCATATCGGGCACTTTTTACATCTGTCACAGCAGAAACTGCGCGATATTGAAAAACAATGAGCACTGAGTTGCATCATAACCAAATTGACAAATTTACAAACTTAACAGTCATGTGATTGTACCTGCAAAGGACACGATGCCGACATGGTAGCAGGACCACACTAATCTCTCCCTCGAAGCAAACGCGACACAACACTTTTTCCTGACCGATGGAGTATCAAAAAAGTTTCAGTCACAATCGAAGATAACCAGTTTCTGAAAATGAAACCACATACATGCACACGCGCTACAACTAGTTAAGGATGAGAAAGAATTACATTTTGAAGTCTTTCGTACTCCTGCTGGCTGTATTTGGTGATTTCTGTCTGTTCGCCAAGAGCCGCTTGAAGTCTCCATACCTGATATTTTAGATAATAATTCAAAGGCACAAATGAAGATTTATATATATGAAGCATTGGACAATATATAATAACTCTAGCCAAAAGCAACAAAAACAAAGGCGCTATGATCACCTCCTCAGTGAGATCCTTCTTAGGCATTTTCTTCACTATCTCAGGTGGGTAACCGCAAAAAGTGTTGTATCTGCATTTTAGGAACCAAATATACAAATATCAGAAACGCTAGATCTGGAAGTTGTATGAATTTTTTAAGGATGGTGCTATCCATACACCCATTTTTACCTCTCACACACCCCTCTCAATTTCTAACCGCTGGATAGAATGAATTAAAGAAGATCAATGGACAAAATTTAACTAAGGGTGAGTGGGAGGTAAAAAGGGGTGTGCGAATGGCACTACCCTTTTTAAATACCCTAAGCTAGTTCATAGTTCAAACTGCAAACTGTAACACAGTTGCGTATAGATTTTTCAGAGAACATAGAAGACAAAGAACAGTACTAACCCTGATGCCCCCTCATGAAACAGTTTGGCATGCTCTTCTCGACTTCCTTCATCTATCGACCACCAGCCCAGTAGCCTGCAGTAAACAATTTTCAAATTTAGAATCATTCCATAGTATGTTCACTGCATTTACTGCTTATATAAATCCAATGGGTTTAAACTTTAAATCCGCTTATTAAAGATCTCTTCAGAATCAGGGAAGAGTGAATTATCAAAACAAAAACAACTTTCTACCTAGAACCATGGTGCAAAAACCCGAAGCAGTCATGAGCTCTTGAAGAAAATCTAAAATATAATCCGGTGCCAGCCCCACTACGCAACAAAAGTACAATTTTCTCCACCAACCTACATGCAGAAAATAGTACACCAGCGCCTTGGAGTAAAAAAAGAGGAGAGAAGAGAACTGGAAGTGGGATGTGTCTAGCATTTTCTGGGGTTCCCTGAAATTTGAAGTTACAGAAGGTCGGTTAATAAAATTACCCAAAATGTAGCCATGAACCACAACCCAAAAACACATACCGCAAGGCGCATACAAAGGAGAACTTGAAAGCCAATCACGGGAATTTTCATAAGATGCCCACCAATATCTTGCAGACCACACATTTTATCTTGATTCTGATCCTCTTCTGCTGAAACTACTAAACCGCTATTCCAGTCAAGATATCTAATAGTTGTAGAAGATGAAGTAGCTTCTCTTGTATGAGAATTTTGATGAATCACTGGATTGGACCACTTTGTACAGACAAGAAAGGCAAAGCATTCTGCAATACTGTGAAACATATGCACTTCTTAGTCACCCAAAATAGGAGCGGAATTTTTAATTTACACTATAAAAGCAAACAGAATAAGTAGCTACAAAATAGGATATATAAGCACAAGAAGCACAGAAACTGTACCTAAAATTTATAAATAAATCCCACCAACCAAGAGCACCTACATCACCTGCACATTTCATATGAGGAAGATCTCAGCATATTAAAACACTACTTTGGACTCTCTCTGTCCCTCTTCCCTACCATATACATATATACATGTATACAGTGAGAATATACATGCGCACGTATGTATATATAAGATGATAGTGCTATGGATCAATTAGGCTGTCCAGAGAAAGGATATTACAGATGAGTAATAAGAGAAGACACCATTTTGAATGCATTTTTCATTGTTACATTTGACAGCAAGGAGTAACAGAAATTACCGCATAACTTAAGCAGAGTGAAGACTGTAGCAGCAACAAAGAAAACCATGGAGATTGCTACCCAGAAATGCTACAAGAAATACATTGGTAAACCATTAACAGCAGTTTCCAAAATTGACTTTCTAAAATAGGTAAAATTAAAACAAACGTTTAAGTTGAACAGAAAGTAAGAAGGGGGAATTTCAAAAGGCACTTAATACTCACACATCAAATATTAATTAAATACTTACTAAAATTAAAACCCAACCTAAAGTGTTAAACTATTTTCCCACTATATCTGAAAGTTAAAGATAACACAAATGGACATGCCATGATGTCCTTACAAAATAGTAAATTTGAACAAGAAAAATGCACCAAATATAAAAGGATAAAACACAAATGGCAAGCAATATCATAGAAAACTATTCATTTAAACTTGAGTACCATGATAAGAAACTTTTGGAAATCTAGTAGGAAAAGCTAACGATTGCTATCAATTGTATGACACTATCTTCTTCGGACATTAGTGAAGGCAGAGAAAATAGATTATTCATTTTCATTGCTTTTACATGATTGACACTTCTCCAAATAATTTATATTTCCTCGAAGACTTGTTAACGTAGAAGATAAATTATATCAAAGCCATATAAACCATCACTTTAGAATAATGTGGTATGAAAAAGTTTGCTAATCCTCGGACAGTTTATCAACTAATGAAATAAAACTTACAGGAAGTGTCTCCCATATTGTGTCATCGCTAATGCCTTCATTATCCCCTGGCATTAGAGCCCTGCACATCCTGTTAAAGAAATGAATATCGATTAAAATCAGCAGAAAACACCCACTACACTAGAGCAGTTTTTATAAGGGGGGAAAAAAAGAAAGTAACAAGGGAGGATATGGCTAACACAAAACATATTTCCATATTCTTAATTATATCTAACAACACAAAAATGATTTTTTTTTTTTTCTGTAATAGATATTTGATGTTTTCTCAACAAAAATAAACAGTAATCTGTTATACTAAAATATGAGATACAAAAGGAGTAAATGTCAAAGGAGATACCTGAAATTGTCAATTAGAATAATTACTTCGAAGGCCAGTAAGGGTAGAAAGACAACCTTCAAGTTGACAGCTGCAAAACCATGAACTGCACAAGAGATAACTAATCAGGGTCTTGCACTAGGACTCATTCTATTATGCAAAGATGAAATCCTTCAAGTAACAGGGCATTTTAAAGCATAACAGCTCAGTACGGAGTTCACAGTTTGACGCATTAAAAGAAAAATCAATGAACTTCATTAGGTTCAACATCTTCTGCATGCATTTACGACCCATGAAAGCAGGCATCACCGTATCAGTCCCCAAAATCATTTTTTTCAAGGATAAAAGCAAGGAGTAGGGTGCGTACCGGAAACACTATCAAGATATATACAAAGGAGCAACTCAAATGCAACTAGCAATGGTGTGGCGACAACAGCATGACATGGTGCCCACTGTACAACAGAGAAAATCTTAGTGATGCAGATTCACAATTATAAATGACAAATTTTAGTCTTTTGTATTCTAACCGCACAGGGTATCAGTGTAGTGGAAATAATCTACACAACTGTAAAGAAACACAATGACATACATGACGACTGTGTGGAACGGAAGGAGCAGGTAATGAGAATCTTCCTCGGGCAACAACTGCATGAAATATCCAAAGTGGAAAGAAAATTATCCTGCAACCAAAACGCAACACAACTCAGAAAAGAAACTATAGTGATTGATGCTAAGAAGATATATGCCCTCGGGTGGTGGTTCTAAAGTTCTAACCAACATACGCATATACATATGAAAGTCACCTTTCTCTATCAAACTTTTCACAACGAAATCTCTTCAAAGAGGTGCCAATACCACTGTCATTTGGAAGACTGTTTCCTAATGCACTAGCACACAAAATGGACCATGGGCGACGTGACCATTGGCACGAAACAGTTCAATACAAGCTCTTATTTATTTTCTTCGGAGTTCTTACCAAATAGTTCATGTTATTTAAAACGCAGAACGAAAAGAACACGGACAATGACGCTTCATCTGTAATAACAAGAATTTCAAATCCCGTTCGTATTAAAGAATGCTTCTTGATCCTAAACTTGCACTGCCTATGACACCAGTGAACTAATTTCCCAATCTATGAGCAAACCAATTACTTTTTCCACTGTAAATATCAACAAGTCAATCTTTTTATCTCCTTTTTTACACCAGCTGCCATTTCTCCACCAAATTACACAGTTTCTAATTTCATTTCCTCACCAATTAGAACAAAATTTCAAACTTTTTTCCTTTTCTTCTCAATCAAAAATATACACAGTTCACATGCAAACCAATTTTCCATTAAACCAAACAAAACCCATCACCTGCCTCGTCAATCCAACAAAATTCCCAAACTTTCCCACCCTAAAATTTAACAATTCCATTCAAATTAAACAAAAGTTAGAGCTGAAAACTGAGGAAAGAGAGAGAGAGAGAGAGAGAGAGAGAGAGAGGGAGGGAGGGAGGGAGAGTAAACGGACCACCAAGAGTAGGAGGCGGCGACGCCGTCGAGCTTGAGGACGAGCAGTAGCGTAAAGGAGAAGAGGAGGCTGTGGGCCACCAAGGCCTGCACGGACTTCAACACTCTCCACCAGTTCATCATCGCCGTAAAACGACGTCGTCCGCTGCGAGAGTCGAGACTTCAGATTGTGAGAAATCTCAGAAGGAGGTTGCTGTTTCAGACTTCAGTAGGCGCCATTGAAACGAACGAGGCAAGAAATATTCTCTCTCCCCTTCTTCCCTTTCGTCTCTCCTTTACTTTCCTGAATAAAATACAAATCGCATTTACTCTCTCTCTCTCTCTCTCCTCTGAAAATAATAATAAAAAATAGTTTTGGATTTTGCTTGCTTCCACTCCACGGCAAAGTGACGCCGTCGCTACTGCGGCGGAAACGGCTGGCGAGGCCTGCTCCGGCTGCGCTCTTTCCGATTCCGGCACCCGGATTGTGCCGTGCAATTACTATTTTACCCCTGAAAAATTAGGTAGGCGTGTTTAAAGTTAGAAGGAAGAATGTCCATAATCTTTATCCATAACAGTCGATCTACATTAAAAGGAAAAACAATTAGATGCACAAATGATCATAAATGGAAGAGGATCCTCACCTCTCTTCTGAGTTCAGGATGAGATCGTCCTGACCAGATCATTCGGACCGTTTAAATTTAATGCAACGACTTTAAACAGGTACTCTCTAAAAGTTATAATAATTACAAACGTTAGATTAAGTTTGAACGGTCCAGATGATCTGATCAGGAAAATCATCATCCTGCGATCCGAATGACCTGATCAGGAGGATCCCATCCTGAGCTCAGAAGAGGATCCTCTTCCATCATAAATCATCAATCTGGCGTTCGGATTCGGTGATTAATTTCTTTCTTTTTACGTTTTTAAAAGAGGATTTGGTTTAAATCTTTTGAAATCTACTCATTGTTGTTACCAATTTTGGTTTAACTTCAACATCGTTTATCAGTCACTTGAAGATTAATCTCACCTCCAAAATATAAAGTTAAGAAAGTTTGAAAAAAAAGAAGAAACAAAATGCTTTCAAAAAGTGGAAGAAAGTGAAAGTTCGTCGCTCCTTGTTGAGGAGAAAAAATTCAGTTCAGGTCAAGATTATGTATCCTCGTTTGTTTAAACACACAAAAATTCTTTGTCTTTGTGTTGTGTTACACTCTACTCACACGTGTCTTCTAGTATAAGTATTGGTTTGGTACTGAAGTATTTTTATAAAAAATGGGTATAAAAAAAAACTGAACTAAAAAATGTATTTGATAAACACTTAAAAACAGCTCATTTTCACAATTTTGGTGAAAAAATGCTGAAAACGTGAAACAGTAAAAAAAAGCTTATTATTACAGCACAACAGGAATAGTTTTTTTTTTTTTTAAACACAGCAATGCCAAACCAATGCTGCAAAACGCCACATACTCACGTAACCCACCTCAGTGTTGGTTATAATGACATCTTGTGAAAAAGAGATACGGGTGTGAAAGAAGAAAACATGAATAAATAAGTACCGTCTGCAATAATAATATAGCTGATTATTTGACTAATTTAGGTTTTAGTTCATGGTAATGAACTCTAATCGGGTATTAACGACATGAACTGTTTTGATGGTGAATTGTGGTATTTTAACCGTTAAATCTTGATTTTTCTATATTTAAACAAAAATATAATAGTACTCGAACACCAGATATTCCAAATCACCAAGAAAGTCCTATACTATACTTCTCTCCTCAAATTCTTCTTGTTTTAAGGACTAATTTGGTGTTGCTGTGTTTTGAAAAAAAAAAACAGTTTCTGCTGTGCTATGAGAATAAACTCATTTTTGCTACTTTACGTTTTTAGCTTTTTGTCATCCAAAACTGTGAAAATAAGTTCTTTTTAAGTGTTTACCAAACACATTTTTTAGCTCAACTTTTCTTTATACCCATTTTTTTATAAAAACACCTCAGTACCAAACCAGTACTAAAACTTAATTGTTGTCGTGCAGCTTAAAGTTATAGGCTGTGAGATTATCAGCAATCGATAAGCAACGGGATGAGCCGGACAAATGGCGAGGAGATCCAAGAGCTTGTTGAACAGGTGGACTATTTGTCCGGCCGAGCATCTCAGTTCATATCAGTTGAGCTTTGTTTGGAACTGTTCTTAAAATAGTTAAAAGGGTAATAATTCGGGTTCACGGGCCGAATTTGTGTGAGACTCAGTCTAAAAACAATACGTTTATTCATTGCGTCATTTATTCTAAATCTAAATGCAACACAACTATTAAATGTGTTACACGTTAATGACATGATTCAAAGCTCCATAAAAAATCTGGAGGTTATTTTGATGGCATGCAAAGAAAATCTTAAAATTTTGGTGTTTATAGGTTATAAAAGCACTTTCTAGCGCTTTCTAGAGAAGCACATAATTATTTTTAAATTTTAATTCTGATCGTGGACACCCTTACTACCTTTGAATTGAATAAAGCAAAAGAAAATTAATCAACAAGAATAAAGAGAAGTGAAGGGAGAAACAAGGGTTGTGGAAATTAGTTCTCTAAAAATATTCATATGCTCCTAACGATCGTAGTTCCATCTAAAGTGCTTATGAGCATAAGTGCTTTCTATATAAGCATTTCCAAACGGCCCACAATAACCAAAACAATGCCGAAAGATGTTTGGTGTAGTTGCATACATCCCAAAACATTTACAGAGACGAGCTTTACATGCATCCTAAAACATAAATTACCCTCCCTCCATCTGAAGGACGACTAGAAAAACTGCTGGAGCCATTGACAATTTGCTGCATCCTTTTGCAACTCATCCTTCATCTTGCCAACCTTTTGCAATGCCTGTTTTAAATCCACTGTCTCCAGAGGCAAATCCGAAAACTCCTTCAGAAACTTGTGCGCCCGAGCAGCTCCTCTGGACATATCATCAGAGTCGGGCTCTCTCTTACGCTTCAATCCAACCTGTAAATACATGATTATTGAATCAGACCATAGCTCTCAACCTCGCCATTTACTTGACAAGGATAATATGGCACTGGTTATGGATCCATGCTAACTCACATACATATGGATTTATATCAGAAAATTTGTGGGATATCGACGCATCTTAGATTGTTGATTAAAATCCAAAAATTAAACAAATTTAGATTAATTCTTTTGCTAACGACATCATCCACTTGTTTATTGTACTAATGAAAGGGATTAGATAGAAGGCTGATGCTTAAAGTTTCTGTACTTATGTTTTTGGTGCTGTGATTAATGCATCAATCTAACAGTACGACGCTAGTCCTCTTAGCATTGTATGCATGCGAGTTCAATGGCGTGAATGTATAGCAGATTTGTATAATCAAACGCCAGGTTGAGGCAACGCAAGAAGTTATCGCATTGTTATTAATTATTCAAAGCTATAGTCATCACCTCTTCTCCAGCATCATTTGGCGTGACTGGAGTAGCAGAGAAATCCTCCAATTCAGCAGCTTTTTCTCGAGCAAGGGAAACAACACTTTCAGGAAAGTTTGCAAACTCTGCAACCTGAATACCGAAACTTTGATCACAAGCTCCTGGCTCAACCTGGAAAGTATGATCAAATCAAGAAAATGAGCGAGTTCAGTTTTGCTAAACCAAGATCGCATGCACTAGCATGAAAACAAAGAGAAGATGGAAGAACATTATAGAACTTAATCGCAAACATAGGTGCATGACATCTGCCTCCAAATCTACTACTTGAGATCCTGGAAAAGACAACATAAATAACCTATACAAGAACTAGAGAATACATCTACCTTGTACAGCATAGTCAACTTGCGGCTTGATGAGTCAATATGCGCACTAACGTGATAGTTTGCTACGCCAACAATTTGCTTCATATTAGCTTCCTGAACGCCATTTTCATGAGCTAATTCAGTTAATTCATGGAAGTGGGTTGCAAACAAGGTAGGTGCTTTAATCACTTCAACAAGGTGTTCACAAATGGCCCAAGCTAAACCTGAGCACCATAGTAAATACTGATAAGACAAAGCTGTAAAATAAAAACTTAGCAGTATCAAATGCATTGAAAAAAAAAAGCTCAAGAGTTAAACCAACCGAATCCATCATAAGTTGAAGTCCCTCGGCCTAACTCATCGATGATTATCAGTGACTTGTCTGTAGCTCCTTTCAGTATAGATGCAGTCTCAAGCATTTCTTGCATAAAGGTAGAAACTCCACGTAGCTAGAAAGAAGAAGAAACACAATTCAATTTCCACAATGGAAAGACAAAAATCCCCAGCAGGAGATAAGAAGACTACAGAGAACTAAAAGATCATTTAAATCGCATAAAAACAAGTTCAAACTTCAAGAGAATATGCCAGGAAACTCACTTGGCAATCGCCAGCTCCCACCCGTGCAAAAATGCAATCACGAACAGAAATATTAGCTGCGTCACAAGGAACGAAACAACCAACTTGTGCCATCAGAATATTCACACCAACCTGCCAGTGCAAAGATTCAGTCACTTGTTAATAGTGATTAAAGCAATTGGAATTGAAAATGGATGTGGGGTGTCCAATTTGGTGACATGAGCCACATATCAAGTGCAAGAATGTAATAGTTGCATGGAAAGTTATTTATGCTGATGGAAGCAGTAGGAAGAAGCATTTGACGAAGTCATTAAAATCACACCTGTCGGATAAATGTTGATTTGCCACCCATATTGGGTCCTGTGATGATTTGGAACCAACTCTTTCCTCTCACCTAATCAGCAGAAATAGTAAAGAGCACATCAGAACCCATCCAACTTATAAATTAACCAATATCTTGTTCTTTTTTTTTTTTTCGTTTTCCTGGGTTCACGAATACTCACAAGTTTACAATCGTTGGGTATAAAATTCACCCAGTCCTGAGCCTCCACACAGGGATGTCTACTCCCTTCTAATATTATATCCCCTTCATCCTATTATGGCCAATAGGACAATAATTATTGTTAATTTAGTAACAAGGAAAAAACATTATCATTCTTAAGTAAGAAATAGAAAGAAATAACAGGTAACTGATTACCGGTGGCATGATGACTGGCCTAGTGTAAGGAGTAGGACAGCTAGAAGCCAAATCAGCAAAACCAAGTAAGACATCCAATTCAGAGAGCAACCCAGCTACAGACCAGAACACCTGGAGATGAAAAATCCTTTAATCCAGAACAAGAGGAAGGATTAACCACCAAAGACATTAAAGTATCATTACCTCAGAGAAAGTTGTTGCAGTTTGAACAACTCGGTTAACAAGCTCTTTCTGACAATTCTTATACTCTTCAACTATCGTTTGATACTGATCCCCTAACTTTTTAAGCTTTGTGTTGGTAAATTTCACTCCATCCTTTCGGGTTTCCAGAACAATGAACTGTGTTGTGAGCTTTTTCCTTACTTTTGGCTCTTCCTTCTTTGTGATTCTAAAGACATGTCCAAATTGTGTGCCTTTATCTAATTTTAAAGCCTTATCTACAGCAAGATCAAGATCATTGGCGGTTTGTTTATGCATAGTGTGTATTTGGTGCTCCAATGACTCCTGCTCTTCCTTCA